ATATTATTGTTAAAATATTTAATATTTAATTTACATTGAAATGGACATTCTGAGCTTTTCTTTTCTTACCAGAAGTGAGATATGTGTATAAAATTGTGCTTGTGTGTATACTTGTAATATAGTACAGGGATGAATGATAGTTTGGAAAAGCTATTTAGCATAGCTATGCCAGGTGCTTAAACAGACTTGTAAGGACTGTTTGTCTATGAATACTCTTAAGTCTACTGATTTTGTATCAGTCTATTTGCAAACATAAAGGCTGCATGTAATGTATCAAGGCGTAACCATGTGTGTATTGACCTTATGACATACAAAACACCTAGTCATGTACCTCAACAGAGCCCACAGATCGAAGTTAGAGGTGTGCATTTTTTTGGCAAATGTTTTATATAGTGGCACTTATTACTGTATGTTATGTATAGATTTCAAGTTTACTGTTTTGATGATGTAAACTATGAATCAAAGCCAAAATTATTTAAAAGTAATAAAAAGAAATAACAATCTGACTTTTAGGAATGTTTATCAGCAAAATGTATGGCCGCAAATTCTTTTAAAACCCAGACAGATATACACACAAGTCACATAATATGGAAATGTTGAGTAGCATCTCTGTATTTCTTACACCTTCTAAACACCTTTTTGAAACTACTGTGTCACATGTGATATTAAAGTTTGCTCAAGCCATGCATTGTGTTACCTTTAGTGTCCTTGGTACCGTTAGCTTATCATGCAACTTGTCATTATTGCCAGTACACAGCACACAAGCTTAGTTTGTTCACTATGATCTCTAGCAGCTTAGACCAGATAATACCTCATAACCTGCAAAGGAAGCAGCTGTCATAGATATCTCATTAACAAGTTGGGCTTGCATGTAGTTTTTCTCATCCCTAGAGATTATAGGCCAGATAATTCTGGCAAGGGAAACATGAAATATTCACAAAATTGATTTTTTTTTGTCTCGCCCTTATTATCTGAATGCATGGTCTCAAGGTGTGATACAATTCTTTGAGCTTCAAACTGAATAGCTGTTGCCCTTCCTCCCCTCCCCCCCCCCCAAAAAAAAATTGTTCTGAAATAGGGCACTTCTTCAGTTTATTTATTTGTTCTCTTACCAGTTCACCTCTTAGCAGGTTCTCTCCTTTTCTGAAGGAGTCCACCAAGAAGACTCATTCCAAGGGAACACTGATGCACCTGTACACAAATTTGTATAACCTGTATGACTGTTCATGTACATATAAATTCACAGGGCCTATCAGGGCTGACATTAACAGCTGTAACACATAAGACATGTTACAGTAGAGTATGCTTGGTGGGCCCTTGGTGGCATGTTATGGGTGAACTTGCCTGTTGTTGATGCTGACAATTCACCCACAAAGTAATAGGTTTGTTATGGATGTGAAGATCAAGATGACAGGTGACTAATGACAGCCCTGCATGACTAATCACATTGGGCCTGGAATCCAATTTACCTGTCTTTTAACCAGACAAGAATCTCCAATGGTTCAATGCTGGTTAAATCACTTATATATTCTATCTACAGTATACAAGCCGTTACCAGTTATATCACCGGGCAGGCAGGTTTTATTCACCAAATCAGCAAATCAGAAGTTACATTTAAATTAAATACAGAGCTTGAAACAGTTTCTTTTCATTTTACTAGCACTGTTTTGTACCCATGAAAAAAGCCTTCATCAAATTACCTTGATTTAGAGCCAAATCACAACTTTGACCAGCTTTTGAGGAGCCTTATAAAATTCATGCACAGGTGGACTTGGGAAAAATGCAGTTTTTGTCCTCAAGGATTCCCTCAAAAAAATAATTTAGTGAAATTGTTTACCGATCAGATGGTGAAACATCAATCTCCAAATTTGCAAAACGTTCCACAGTCAAGGCAACCTGGCAGCAAGCACATATCAATGTACCCTTTAAAACAGATGACATTATTATTCAACTTGGTAGTGGTTAAATTTTGTGGCAAAGTCCCTATTAGTTCTTGTAAGCAGCTCTCTGGTCTCTTGAAGCCGTTTGTGCACATTCACCACAGCATTTTTGGTTGAAGAGTTAGCAAATACTCTTGAAAGCTTTGAAACTGAAGGAAATGGGCTTATGACAATACTTGCATCTTGTTCACTTGATGAGGCACTTTTACTTTTCCCTGTGCCGTCACTATCATCATCATCACCATCAGACTTTTCTGAATAAGGAGGTGAGACATGACATGATGAAATATCTTTAACTGCCTGATCACTGCCAAGAGAGGTTGCTGTCTTTGTGAACAGTTTTCTACTGGTTGAATTGTTCTTTAGCACAGATTTAGGACCCTTGGCATAATCATTGCCAGTCTCTTCATTAATTTTAGTTGATATGCATTTCAGACTATTTTCAAAAGATTCCTTGCCTGGATTTTTTTCACTCTGTACATTAAAACCAGACACAACTATTTTGTCAGGTTGTGATTCATTCTTTTTGTCCACTCTGGGCAAAGGACTTCCACAATTACAACAAGATTTATACCCAGATGCTTCTTCCACCAACTTCATTTTGCTCTCCAGAAGCACAACCCTGGCTGACAGTTCATTGTTTAACAACACCATGCTGTCAAACTTCTCCTGTAACTCTTGAACCTGCTGTTTTAGAACATAAACCTGAGCCTCTGCACTTGAGCTTGAATCAGTCACGAGGACATCTGATGGTTCAATCAGACTTGAATGTCTAACAACTCTTGTACATGGAAATTTACCATCTGAAAATGAAGTGTCTTGCAAATCATTCTCGTTGTGAGAGATGGAAAGTGGAATGGCTTGATGATGAGTATTCTTGGCAGTAGGTGTAAGCATCAGATCGGCACTTGGCAAAGGAACTGCTGTCATGGAAACTGGGGAAGGAATAGCATATGGTATCACTCCTGCACTGGACATGTTTTCTGATTGTAGGGGGAAATATGCTGGTGATGTCTTTGCGAAAGGAATTGAGTGAACTGTTGCTGGTACTGAGATGGGGTTCATTGCTCCATTGTATAGTGGATGAGCAACAGAACCTTTTTCACCCTGTTCAGATAGTATGACCTGGGGTTCACTTAATTGATCTTCCCAAGTGACTGTTTTGACATGACACTGTCTAGACAAATTTGACCGAATTTCTGAGTTCTGAGAAACTGGGAATTTTATACCTAAGAGCTTCTGGTCACCACTGCTTTTAATGACTAAATTTGATGGAACCAAATCGTTCACAGAACTGCCAGCTTTCCCTGATGGACCACTGTTTGAGGGCATTACATGACTACCGGTGCATATGCTGGGTTCACCATCAAGAAACATACGAGTTATAAGAGGCTCCTTTAATCCCAAGCCAGCTTTCATTGCTTCCTCATTACTGCGGAAACTCTTCATGTCAATGTCCTTTGGAAGGGGTCCGGGGAAACGATCAGAGTGTGTTGACATTACTTTGTCCGAGCATTCTTTAGTAGTGCCATTATCATCACCCCGCAGCTGTGAACTTGGCCAAGTCTGCTTTGCTTTCTTCTTTTCCGACTTGCCACCTTTAGATGTAAGCTCATCGTGTTTCTCTCTCAGAAGTTTCACCATTTCACAAAGGACAATAATCTTTCTTTCTGCGAATCCAATTGTTAGGAACTGTTCCCTGGTTAGCTGAGGCTTGTAACCAAACTCGTCGCGAAGGACTTTGTACACAGCTTCCATGAATCTTAAATCTGTTTTCCCATACAACTCGTATTCTTTAGACGCAAAGTGCTGAGCCAGTGAGATGGAATAGTCAAGGAAAACATGATGAACGATGGGGAGAAACGCCTTAGGAATCCCTTGAGCTACTCCTTTGATATCGAGCTCACTTTGAGGATAGTGAATTTGTTTTAATTCGGAAACTAGCTTTCTAAGGTTGTTTTTCAGGTCCCCTGTAGTCATGACGAAAGAAACTGTACTGCTGTAGTAATCTGGGCTTTTTCTTGTATGAAGATATTTGTTTTTCCCCACAATTTTCTGTACACAAGTCAATCCGTTGTACTGAGCGCCATTTTGAATTCTACCGCGCGCAAATTTTGTGAGCACACAATCATGCAGCGGTTGTAAACAATAATCAAGATGGCGGACGTAACTCGCATACCGCGTCGAAAGAAAGGGGCAAAATTCCACCCCAAGGAAGCTCCATTTCCGATTCCTATTCAAAGTATTACAGGAAAGCAATCATGCAAAGACAGGTGGTACTACTACACTGGTTATTTCAGAGACAACTGCGTAGTGGTAGAAGATTTAGGCGACCTTACTTTTCTGTACAAGATGGTGAGCTGCAGTCTAAAAAAATTCATTTTGTAAAGCAGTTTAACGTAGCTACAAAACATGGCAAAATTTCGGTTCTGTCCTCGTGTACTGGTACACAAGAACCGATACGAAAGACCCAACTTATACAACAGCTAGACAAAGACTCGTAAAGAAAGGCAGTACAACGGTTATTCCCTCAGTGTAACTTTAACTCGTACTGGTACACCAGGACAGAATCAAGATTTCCGTATAACTCATGCATTTATGCATGCAGTTCTTTGTTTAACTAAACAATAGTGAAAATAGCATCTCTGGTAGAAAGCTTGTTAAAGTTTGATTATGACTATTCATAACCATGTACTCAACGTTTTTGTATAAAACGTGTTGAAATTGATTCGAACATTGTCAAAAGTAATGCACTCCTGTCTCCAAAACGACAAAGACAAACTCGCAAAGACAATGTTTGCAGAGAAAACTCGGTGAGAGAGGGCTCATCTCTTCAAACAAAAATATGATTCGTTCTGATTATGAGAATGTCAATAACTTATGTTTGATAGGTTTCTGTTAAACCTTCGAGGCCCTTCTGTCTTAACCAATGACCCACAACATACCCACTTCTCACCTTGATTTTCTCACACTTGGAAGACCAACATGCATGAATGCATGAATTTTTGGGGGTGGTGGTGGGACATGAGCTAGTTTTCAATGGGTTACAATAAATCTCCAAAAAATAACTTACATCCCAGTCATTCTTTACGTAGTGTTAATCCTTGTGATGTTTAGCAAAGCAGGGTTTTGTTTTATAAAAAGTACTGATTTATAGCTCTTTGTATTTGACTAAATTGTCAAATGCACTATCCCCAGGTAGCCCTTTGCAAGCAAATGTCCCATGGCAGGGATCTACAACCTGTTAAATGCCTTCCAAATTTCCAGCGGGGGGGGGGGGG